AGGGTTCAACCATCAATGCAAAATATTACTGTGCTTTATTGACAAAGTTGAGGCAAAACATCAAAGAAAAATGTCGAGGAAAGCTCTCCAAAGGTTTCATCCTGTTGCATGACAACGCCTCGTCACACTCTGCAGGTGAAACAATGGCAAAACTGACGCCCTTAGGCTTTTAAGCGATGCCCCATCCACCCTATTCTCCCGACCTGGCTCCTTCTGACTATCATCTTCCATTCTGTTTAATGTAGCTGCAGTTGACACAACTGAAAGGAGAGCCTTGGCGCCAAGATACTTATATGAAGGGGAGGGGCTTTATTCTAATGTGTTTTTTGCTAGCAGAGAAGATCTAGAACTTTCTGATGAGGCTCCGCACAGGCGCGGATCACCCAGGGTGTGAATTATAGAATAACTACAATTACAGGTGGTTTATCTATCAATCTGCATGTACCATAGGGCTTTATTTATTTTTCTAAATTTTCTTGTTGCCCTCAATGTGGTTAAAGTAGCTATACTATTACCAGTATTCATCTAGGAGTCCAATCAGATTTGGAATGAGGGGAGGTGGCAATAGCTTGTTCTTTGCCTTTGTCAACAGAATGTCTTGGGCTGGCCCCACTACTCTGCAAAGATCTGAGAGGGCAAACCTCTCAACTTTAGACCCCTCTGTCCCATATAGATTAGGAATCATCATATCAACCTATTGTAACAATTTCTGAGATGGTGTTATGATGTGATGTGCTTTGAGCACTTTAACAATGTGTATGCATATTGTGTTGTTACAAGTATGAACTGTTGAATATTGCTATATGTGACTCAAAGAGTGATGTATGTTTGACTTTTGTTAATATGCGACAGAAAAAGGATTCAAAGCAGATGCCCCAAATAACGAACATTTGTGTCTCATCCCCCCCCACTCCGAATTTTCTAACAAGCCAAAGAAGAGCTGCAATTTTTTTCATATCCCAAGTTGTTTTTGAAATGAATTAAATACTATTGTTCCATTAGTATCTCTGAGGAGGTTTGCTTATGTGGCACAGAACGTTCACAAGCAGAGAAAGACTTTGTGACAGGGATGAAACTATGTACAAAATTTATCTTGAATGTCTCTTTATTTTACCAGGAACTGGCAGCAAAAGTGCTCCAGATCTTCTACTTGGCCGAGCCAAACCAGATGCCCCATATCATCTGCAGCCCTTCCATGAAAAACGTGTGCCCTAAAATTGCTATGGAATATCTACAAAGGGTAGAAGTGGTTGTACCGTCTGTTGTGGTAACACTAACCAAAGCATCTATGGCTCTGAAAATGGGAGATTTGGATAGATGTCAGAATGAGCTGGACAACTATGCAGAGGTAAAGCCTGCTATTAAATGTTACTGTTTCCATATTAGGGTTTGGTTCCTTCCTGTAATCAAGAAGGAAGGACAGAAGAAACCAACGTTCTTGTAAGAAAAAGGTTTCCTGTTCAGGCATGTGATTTTTTTAAAGACCTCTGATGCAGTTTTCCTTTTCCCTGTTCCCTATTTTGGAGAGAGGTGCTATCTTAGTGATGGAGCTTTTTCTTCCCCTGCAGGAGATGCCATTGAAAAGGATCATGTAGCCCTAAATGGTAAAAATGTGCCCAAATTAGCTAAGTAGATAGCTATGGCCAGCCCAGATAGATAGTACTGGCCTGGACAGGCTTGGTATAGACCAACCATCCTGACAGACGAATGTGAGGAAGGCATTTTATTAGCAAACTGTAGTCTGTTTCAATAGTTCTGCAGGGATTTGTAATAGACAGTGGTTTGGTTCCTGTAATACTCATGGGAGTGGAGAGGAGAGAGAAGAAAATGGAGAAGGGTAAGCTATTATTAATGTAGAATTGGTGGGAGAGTTGCATGTTGTGGAACCACGACATGTTTCAGTTTCTGTTTCTCTCTCTCTCTCTCTGTCTCTCTCTCTCTCTGTCTCTCTCTCTCT